ATGGCTAAAAGAAGCTCTTAAGCTTAAAAGGGACTTAATGGTTGACTTATTTCATGTATGATACCAAAATACACATAAAGCTTGCACCTTTATGCTCAAGGATACCAAAACAAAATCAGATCTGAAAGGACAAACCCATAAGCAAACTAACTCATCCATAAACCCAAAAAGAAGACCAAAATCACAATAAACTAGCCATGAGGAGATCTAATCATACACAAGTCAAGATGGAACCAAATCCAACTAACTTCAATTTTCTCTTCTTTCCTTCCCAAGGGCAAAATGTGAACCAAAGCCTTCCAATAGATCAAGAATACCACCAAGAGGCTTCAAGGTCGATTTAGGGTTTTTAGGGTATGGAGGTTGGCTTAGAAATGAAGGAAAGGGGCTAACATAAAGCTTTTATAGGGTACAACACTAGAAATTATGGTTTCATACTAACCCTCGTACGCCCAACGTACTCCTCGTACGCCCAGCGTATGAGGTCTCGCACCCCGCTCCCACTTCCGCAGTACGCTAAGCCTACTCCTCACTACGCCTCGCGTACTAGCCTTCACATCAGTATGCCCCGCGTACTACCTTGGTACGTGTCGCGTACTAGGGTTTTCCCCAAACCCTAATTTCATTCCGAAGGTCATTACTTCTTCGATACTACTCGGATTCCGACCACCCTTATATCCATGAAAAAATATCGAGAAGATCTGCACTTTTATCAACTCATACTTGACATAGTGGTTCCCAAACATAAAATTCAATTCCATAAAAGCCTGCTGCCAATTTACCAAAATACCCCTTGGCACCAAAACCAAATCCGAATGCTCGAACCATCTACATTTCATTACCCACGCCCAAATGGGTAACGATTCGAAACAGGACATTACATTTATAAAAAAATATATTTATAGAAAAAACGTATTTATATGTATTTATAGAGGTATATAGGATAAAATTTGTGTAAAACATGTATAAATATGTGGTTTATACAATACAAACCATAATAATATGTATTTTCTTATTTATATATACATGATATTTTTTATATGAAATAAATGCATATTTATACCTATTAAAATGATAATAAATACAATTTTTTTTAATGTATTAGTACGTTTTTAAATGTATAAACTCTTTTATAAATATACATATGCTTTCAAATATATAAATACGTACTAAAATGTATAAATATTTTTTTAAAGTATAAATACCTTTAAAAGATATTTATACCTCTAAAAACATACTTTTTAGCTTTAAAAATACATTATATATTTAAAAATATATGTATACATTCATTAAAATATAATAATAATAATAATAATAGTTAATAATAATCCAAATAATAATATTATTGATAATCAATTTTACATGCTATATTTAAAAGTTTAAAGAACACTCGACCGGTCAACATCCACGTCAGCCAAAAATTTACATGTGGTATCCCATCTATACAGTTTACGAATGACTGTGAAACTTGCTAAAAGGGTATATATGCAAATTTTAGATAATATATCCGACTTTAATAAACCCAAAAAACGCAAAAAAAAAAAGACGCGAAAAAGTAAAATCAAACATTTCTTGAAAAATTCAGGATTTTTATAACATTAGCAAAAAACCAATTGGTGAAATCGCAAGGTTTATGAAATATGTGATCTTTTGTAATTAACTTTAGAAAAAATTACAAATTTAGTCATTTTCCTTAATTACTTTGCGAAAATAGCAAAAAAAGACCAAATTACAAAATTAGATAATAAAATCGCAGATGGATTAGAGCCATCTACGATTTCGACATTTGATCTACAAATGTACAAGTGTTTAAAGCGTGGACGTGCATTAACAGTTGTACGTTCGCAGATGAACTCAGTTCATCTGTGATTTTATTAGTTGATCTGCGATTTTGACTTTTTAAGGGTATATATACCTAATCTTTTTTTTTGAGCTTTCATTTTGCAAAGTTTTTGTTGGAAGAACTCTTTCTGAAAGCAAAAATCAATAGCCATTAACGATTTCATGTAAAATCGTAGTTATATATATATATATATATATATATATATATATATATATATATATATATATATATAGGGTTAGGTTATTTTGTTTCTAATAACTATTGTGTGCCAGAATGCACAGATCTGAACCATTTGATGAAATATAATCAAAAGTCATGATCTGAGGGTCTATGATAGTAGAATAGGATAACATGTACCATATAATCACACAAATTTGAGCATAAAGGCATTTTAGTCAATTAACCTATATTAAAAAAAGGAAATTTTTGGATTTTTAGGGATAATTAATTCCTTTATTTTTAAAAATCTGAATATTTTAAATTCATTTGAAATTAAAAATCCGATTTTATTCTATCAGAATGATAGAATTTTAACCATAAACTAGTAAATATATTTTTCGATTTTATTCTGTCAGAATGACAGAATGTCAACCATAAACTAGTAAATACATTCTGAAAGAATACACAAAATTGATTCTTGAACTAATAATATACCAAATAATTACATTGTATGATTGTGATTCATTGAATAATAACAAACATTCTGAAAGAATAACAAATATAATTCTTAAAAAATAACAACATTCTTAAACAATGAGTGTGATCATTCTTTAATTCATTCTTCAAGCCTTTCCCATCAGGTCTTCAAGCCATTCTTCAAGCCATTCATTGCCAAGTAATTTGTAGTGATACACTTGTGTTTGCATTCTGATATGAAAAAAAAAATAAAGAATAAAATTTGAGTTCATTCTTAGAGAACAATCATTGTAAAAGAATAAAATTAAAGCTTCCCTGCTTTTTTTGGTTGTGTAGGTCTGATCAATTTGCAGGATTACATGTGAAGAATACTTCCCTTCTTTATTCTGAAAGAATAGTAGCCTTCTTCAAACTAAAGCCCTCTTTATTCTAAAAGAATATTGTCCTCATTCTGAAAGAATTTTCAGGTTAACATTCATTTGGTAAAGCAAACAAGTTATATTACTGTAGGTGAAAATAAAGAATTATAAAGTTTGAAACCATTTAAAGCTAAAGTTTGAAAACCTTTAAGTATTACTCAATTAACTAAAATATTAAAAGTAGGGATAACTAACAAATACAGAAATGGAGTAGCAAGAAGATGAAAAACTCAAAATCAGATATGAAAAGAAAGACATAATCTTATTCTGACAGCTTTGATCGAACATCTTTCAGGCATTCTTTCAATTTTCACAAGTACTAGAAGTATTTATCAATAAAATAAAATTGAAGAATAAATATTATTTCAATCTTTATTACTAGTTCAGAGCACCAGTATTTAGTATCTTTAATAAGAGTTGAAAAAGAAGCTTACTTTAGGAACAATACCCACGTTGAATTTTCTTAAGAACATTGCAAAGGATCGTCCAACTTCTTAACCACATTGCTTCACTCTTCCTACTATTGTAATTCATACAGTTATCAATCATTAGTCTTAGTTGTCATTCTGTCTTCTCTCAGGCATAAACACAAACACATAGAGTGCACTTCAGTATGTGTTATTTATATACATTATTTTAATAAAACCAAAACACAAATACAAATTAGAGTAGTATATGTCATCGTATATGCATTAGCTAAGAACCAAAGACAGAAAATATAGATTAAAAAAGAATCACATAAACATTAAATCAAACCTGTGGTCTTGTTGTTCAATAGTTGTCTTATGGTTCAGTATTGTCGGCTCAAAAGCTCAAAATCAGATATGAAAAGAAAGACATAATCTTATTCTGACGACTTTAATCGAACATCTTTCAAGCATTCTATTTCAATCAATCTATTTTTTGCCACCATCTATAAGCATGGAGGCATCAGGTGGATGGAAGGCGACATATGGTATCTAGCGTGGTGTTGGTCGATGAAAATCGATGGACTTTGATAATGGATGTTGGTGTACGGCGGCAGCTATAGACCGATTATGGTGATGGAATACGAAATCGACGAAGGAGAGGGGGGAAGAAGAAGATACGACAACGGCAAGATGAGGGTTACAAAGGTATGTCGATGGTTATAAAGAAGAGATATTAGGTCAACATATATTTATTTTGTTTCCTTAATTGCAAATGCAAAAAACCAGAATTACCCTTTTTTATTTAATTAATTATTTAATTATTTGCTAATTTGTGATTGGTGGATTTAGTAACATAATAGTTGCTAGAAACATTTAAACCTAGCTCTCTCTCTCTCTCTCTCTCTCTCTCTCTCTATATATATATATATATATATATATATATATATATATATATATATATATATATAGGTTTAGGTTCTATGGAAAACAAAAAACCTTAAAAATCTTTAAAATGCATAAAAAAATACTTAGAGATCACAAAACTTTTTTTTGAATTTTTTTATCAAAAAATCGCAACTTTTAGGTCAAAATCGCTGAAAAAAAATTTTGTTAAAATTTTGTAAATTTTTTTTTTTTTACAAAAAAAAAATTGATTTTTTATTTTTTTTCAGCGAAATTGTAAAAAATGCTGCGATTTTTTGATAAAAAAATTCAAAAAAAAGTTTTGTAATGTCTTGGTATTTTTTTATGCATTTTTATGATTTTTAGGGTTTTTTTGTTTTCCAAATAACCCTTATCTCTCTCTCTCTCTCTCTCTCTATATATATATATATATATATATATATATATATATATTGCAAAATCACATATGAAACGTAAAAGAAATCATGAACTGAGATTTCCTCTTATGTTCCATCTGCGAACGTACAACTGCCAATGTACGCCGAAGCTTTAAACACTTGTATATTCGCAGATCAAATGTCAAAATCGCAGATCGTAATCCATCTGCAATTTTAGTGGTTAATTTTGTAATTTGAGTTTTTTTTTTCTATTTTTTACAAAGTAATTAAAGAAAATGGTTAAATTTATAATTTTCTCTTTAACTTTATTCTCTTACCTGTTCTGATTATTTCGTAAATAAATCTCAATTATATATAGGTCTAATCTTATTACTTTGGATTCAAATGGTTGACCCATTACATAATGCTAAACTTAAGCTGATAATTAAAATTAATCATCTGGAGCAGAAAGCTTAGAGAATGTGGATTTTTGGAAGAAAAGGGGAATCAGGGTTTGGAGCTTCTTCAACAGCGGAAGATGTTACCAAAGGAATCGATGGAACTGGTCTTACCGCCATTGTTACTGGTAAAAGCGCGCATCTTCGACCCTCTGCTTCTCATTAGGATTCTTGATCCTTTTTTCTTGAAATGTTTCTCATTCTGATATGTTTTCTGGGTTTTTAAGGGTTCGATCCACTGCACATAACTGAATAACAGTTAACAAAACAGAACGTCAAGAACTTGTGATTTGGGGGTACTGAAAGATGGGTTTAACTTGTTGTACTTGTATCACTAAATCTTGATCCTGATATCCGTATATAAGTAACTTCGGGTGTTTGACCAATATTGATGATGGTCTTTTTTTGTTGGATATGAAATTGGGCCCGTTTCGCTTCATGTTCATGTGTTGATGGATGTTCATGTGTGCATTCAGGAGCTTCAAGTGGTATAGGCACAGAGACAGCACGGGTCCTTGCCATTCACGGTGTACATGTGGTGATGGGGGTAAGAAATACAGAAGCCGGTAGAACAGTTAAAGAGACAATACTTATGGAGACACCTGATGCTATAGTTGATGTGATAGAGTTAGACCTCAGCTCTCTTGCATCTGTAAGGGAATTTGCAGCCGAGTATTGTTCATTGGGCCTTCCTTTAAACATTCTCATGTAAGAGACATATCTATTTTGGTGTCGTTTTACCTGTCCACTTTTGGATATTTTCTTTATCAAAATTACAAGATTTTTGGTTTGTGTTGTCAAAAGTAACAATGCAGGGGTTATGGCTCCTCCATTCACGCTTTCAAAAGACAAGATTGAACTACAATTTGCAACCAATCATTTAGGTATGTGATTATCACAATGTTTGGCTGAAGGAATTGTAATCTGTCACGTGGTTGCAAGAAACAAAATAAACCGACTTAATATTCTTTTATGTATATTGAATTCCTTCCAAGGTTGGAAGAAATGGTAATCTAAGGATTCCAACGGAATTAAAGTGTTACCTTTCATTTGACACCCAAACACACCGGGGAATGGAATCTTGAATTCCAATTCCACTGGAATCCACGAACCAAACACTTGATTAAGGTATCTGTCTTTTTACAGGTCATTTTCTTTGACGAATCTTTTACTCGATACCATGAAGAAAACTTCACGTGAACATGAAAAAGAAGGAAGAATAGTTATGTCATTATTGTTTTCTGCTTTGAGTTCATTAATGAATGTTGTTCTATGCATGGTTCAGTTACAGCCCCATATACGCCTATGGACAGTCAAAGCTGGCCAACATACTGCACGCTAACGAGCTATCAAGGCAATTTAAGGTATTTTTATTTTTATTTGTAATCTTTCTCAGCCCCAAACACTAGGGCATGGTTTTTCTCCTTGGCAAAGCTTAATGTTTATGATTTTTGCATGATTGTTAAAAATCAGGTAGAAAAGGTGGAGTTGACTGCAAACTCACTGCATCCTGGTGGCATTGCAACCAGTCTTCTACGTCATCACAGCTTTCTTGAGGGTAAAACTCAAAGCTTTTTTCTATCAATATTAAAAATCTCTACTTGATTGTTTGTTACATTTTGGTTTTTTGATCTTATGAGCCAGGTGTCGTTGATTGGGTCGGGAAATACTTCCTGAAAACTATCCCACAGGTTGGATTTGTTAAATTTACGTCTCTGAATTACCTTACAGAAAGAATGACTCAGTTTTGACCCTTTCATTTTCAGGGGGCAGCAACTACATGCTATGTGGCATTACACCCGCAAGTCAAAGGGGTTAGTGGCGAGTATTTTGTAGACAGTAACAAAGCAAAGCCGAGTTCTCTTGCGAAAGATTCAGAATTCGCCAAGAAACTCTGGGATTTTAGCCTGGGCATGGTGGCTCCATAATCATACTAGTTCACTTCATGTGTATATTTTCAACAAAATTGATTGCTTTATTGTATAAAACAGACAGTAGACAACCAAAGATCATTAAGACCAAAAAAAAAAACACATTCTCATTGATAAAGCTTTTGATGTGCACATAAGATGGTTATGTAACTATTTTTCATATCCTAACTCTAGTTTAAACCACGGATGCACAAACTTTTCAACAAAATCTAAGACTCTATCACCTACCCTTCCTTCTTCTTCCTGTACGGCAGTAAAAGTAAAACCCCTGAAAACAAGCCCATGAATCCCTTCTCTTTCTCATAGTATGAGGTGTACACTTCTTTACATATCCACCACGAACCACTGTTAAATGCTGGAGTTTCAGAAGCTATCCATCTGCATCCCTCCTTCCATTTCAGCTTCCAAAAGGGATTATGAGCATAAAAAAGAAAAAAAAAAAAATAAATATAGATATAGATATATTATATATATAGATATTATTATTCATAATATGTTCTTTTAGTCGCTGGTGGTCAACTCCTTCTTCGACTAACCACCGGTGAAGGAGGGTTGAGGTCAATGACTGGATTCTGCTTGACATGATCTCTGAGAAGCTGCTCGGAAACACGGTTGACAAGCACCGACTGCCCGCTGTATCTTTCTTTTTGGTTCCCTAGAAAATCATTATCAGAAGGAACTATCTCCTGAAAGAAGGGAGACCCTTGAGGCATTGCTCGAAACATATCGGGCCTCGGGTCATGATAATACGATCCAGTAATAGGAGGAGGTCCAAAAGATCTAGTGGGAGACCGTGAACTCATGCCCAAACCCGTGAACTCAGGAGTGTACAACACACTTGGCTGCTGTTTCTGGACCTGGTGGTGGTAGAAAGGAATGGCACCACCGGCTCCATTTAAAGGGGTGGATGAACCAGAGATGGTTCGCGGGCTTGATATTGGAGATGGGGATACTCTTCCATTCATACTTTGAACAGATCTTTGATGCAAAAGTGGGCTGCCCAAATGAGAAACCGGGCATGATATGTTACTGCAAATCAGCATGAATACATCAGAACCATGAAAAAACATCACATCACATGTATTAAGAAGAAAAAAAAATGCATTGGAACTGGAACTAGATAGACCTGAATCCAGGACTAGATTTTGGTCCTCGAGAGTGAACAACAGAAACTCCTTCATAACCATATCCAATGCCCTACAACCATGGAAGAAGGAATTATTATTTTTGGTCAAATGTGTAAAATTTAAACAGTTACAAAAAATGGAACAAAAACATACCAGATATCGGACTGCGTTTGTAATTGGGCCTGGATCCAGTATCAATCTTTCAGATGAAGCAATATTTATAACAAAAGGGTGTTCTAGAAGCTGTGCAGCAGTAGGGCGGTGTGATGGGTTCCTCTGTAAGCATTGCAAGATAAAATCTTTGCCTTCATCGGAAAGATGCTCAGGGATTGATGGAAGCTCTTTGCTGTTTCCAACCTTAAACAAAGCAGCCACCTTTGACAAGAAAGTTAATTGTAAGGTCATGTGAACCAAACAAGATAAAAATGCATAATATTTTGTAGCCTACTACTAACCCCTTCATATTGACTCCAAGGAGGTTTAGTTGTAGCCATTTCTAGCACTGTGCACCCGAGACTCCATATATCCACAGCAAGATTGCAACCGTTTGAATTATTGTTGATAACCTGAAACAGTTGAATTCATATTAATAACTACAGAATATTTTAATCATTTGAAAAAATAAATGTGCTTGGAAGGTATACTAACCTCGGGTGCCATCCAGTATGGGCTTCCCTTGAAGGATAACGGGCATGAAGGCCCTGAAATCTGTGAAACAATCAAGTCAAGACTTAAGAGACCAAAAGACAAGTGGCTACTCTTAACACTTTTTGAAATATATATATATATATATATATATATATATATATATATATATATATATATATATATAATATAGGGTGTCTTACATGTTTTGCCATCCCAAAATCGGCCAATTTTACACGTCCGTTAGGGTCTACCAGTATATTTGCTCCTTTAATATCCCTAAGAAAAGACAATACAAAGTCTCATAGAAGATTATTATAATAATAATAATAAAGAAAGTGTGTGACCAAAACTAAACTCACCTGTGGACTGTATTCTTAGCGTGCAAATACTCGAGTCCTGACAAAATTTGATGAGTGTAACTTCGGATAGCTAATTCACCCAACTGACCATAATCCTGGAGAAGCTTATGAATGGAACCACCCGAGACATACTCCAAGTAAATATAAAGTTTGTCATCCACCTAGTAAGTTTTTTACACAAACAAAGAATCTTTAAAAACCTTAAAACATATATCATTAAGAAAAAAGAAGCAAGTAAATGGTTCTCTTACTGTCTCAGATCCATAGTATTGCACGATGTTTGGATGTCTCAAGCAACTTAATAGTGCAATTTCCTGTCAAATATCAACAACAAATGTTAGATTGTAGGGAGATAAAGAATGTCTTTCAACAAGAGATTATGGGAACCACTAAAAAGACTTACTTGCCCCAGCTGTTGGGCACTTTCCTTTGACTTTGCATCATCCGCAAATAAAATCACCTCCTTCATTGCACACATTTCCCCACTCTCACTACAGTTGAGAGAATCAGAGAAGTCAAAACTAGTTTTTATTTTTGTAAAAGTAAGAATTAAATATACAAACCTGTTGAAACCAAGATAAACATGTCCAAAGGTGCCTCTACCAAGCAACCTTCCTTTCTTCCAACGTGAACCATGGCCAACCAAAAGATCTGCTCTACCTGGACTTCTTGGAACTGTTGGAGTAGTTGCGGTTGAATACGAGGGTGAATAAGGACCATTGTTGGAGATTGTTAAAGGTGGAAGGGGTAGTCTGTGACTTTGTTGTCTTCCAGTAACCGCATCATCAGGCCAGTATGCAGATGGGTCCATGTTCAACCCACATGCTCTTGGATGTGATGGGGTGACAGACCCACTTTGTATTCTTGAGCTAGGACCAGGGGCTAGTCATCCTAGGACTAGGTATAGGTGAGCATTCAGGGCTGCATCGACTATGTTGCCAGAGTAACTGAGTAGCAGACATGTCTCCACCAACCGAGTTATGACCCGAGTTGTGACCCGACCCGGGACTAGAGCACTGACCCGACCCAAGAAAACCCGCATCGGCATAGGGCCTTCCGGCCCATAAACCAGAGGTCAGAGTCGGGTCAGGCCCAAATACCCTCATTGGACTTCTAGATGGGCTGGACATGGAACTGTCTGGAGCACTAAAGAAAGCACCAGATTGAGGGATCTGTAATTTCGCCATGTGGCGACTTAAAGGTCGCCGCTTTGGTGACGTGGGCACCGTTTGGTTGTTCAGACACGTGTTTGTGTTCACCGGCTTCAATTTCTCCCTTCTCTTTTGTGTTGCAATGTGATGATTTTGGATCTTGTAAACCGCACTTCAAAGAGAGGGTAAATGTTAGATCTTTAAGAGAAAAAAGGGAAAGTATGTAAGTATGTAATTAATTTAATAACAATTAAGAAAACTCACCTGGAAGGACTGTTTGTGTAATTTTTTTCATAGTCGGATACCTGAGGGCTTAGAAGCCGTGAATCAGAGGGATCATCACTGTCACTTGAACTATCGGTAAAAACCGAATCAGTTGCCAAATCACCTTCAACATCCACATGACCAGGGGCATTTTTGGGAACGACTAGGTTTATGAGGTGTCAATGAGGAGCCTTTCCCAATTCCAGATTTTCTTGATGCCCTTTTTCCTGAATCAGCAGTAGGATGAACATCAGGAAGTGGGAGTGGGTGGGGAAGAGGTCTTTCTGCAAAACTTTGGGATCGAGCCACTAGTGTTGATGGAGAACCCACACGGGAATTAGATCCCTTTGTTTTGTGTTTTGATTCAGATGGGCTTTTCAGCTTTCTCTGAATCGTTCCGAAAATACCCCCACTGTTTGACTTCTTCTTTACTTCTTCAGATGAAGATTTGTTCCACCATGGAGACATGATTGTTGAATTGAGTAGTAGTGAAGACTGTAGTATCAATTGTGCTTGATTTGAAGATCACAATTGATTCTGCAATCCCTAGATCAGAAATGAGAATTGGTAACAATTCCCTTTGACATTTTTGCCAAACATCAACATGACTAAATAGGAAAACTTGTGCCTCTGCTTCCGTAATCATGAAATAAATAGCAATAAATCGAAAGACAGGTGCTCCGTAAACTGCATTTAAGAATTGTATATTAAATTCGAGAAGATGAGCAACAATCTACATCTACACATCCGAATTTAATCAATTTATAACAAACCACCTACCCCTAAAAGTCAAGCTAGAAACGTGCGGTACTCAAACTTTCTCTTCTTGCATTTCTTCTCTAACTAGTTTGAGATAAGAAGCTTGTTGTTGGATACTGTTTTGTTATAACAAAATGTCCATTTTTAGAATTGCATTTTACACGTGTGAAGTACATTGCCCCGTGTCTGCTTATCTTCTAAAACCTCAAGGGTTACATGCCACCAGTTAACCTTGCAAGATGCACGTAGGCATACATTCCTAAATTTTGCCAAGTGTTACCATCATAGGAAATGGAGGCAAGCTATAAAACATCCAAATCATTTTAGTTTGAGAAAAAAAAATGACAAAATGAAACACATCAATTCTACATTGTATCTAGTTTGAAACAAAAATGCCAAAATGAAATTCATCAATTCTACATAGCTAGTCATTCAATTTGAGTTACAAAATTGACAAAAAAAAAATGAAACATTTGGAGAAAAGAAGAATTTTCTTTGTGGTTTCAAGATATCCGTGCTATTTGATGAAATTCGACAATATAAAACTATCATTCGCTAGGATACACAAGAAAATAAATTCTTCCATTAAAAGAAAAAAAAAAAAGCCAAATGTGGATTTCCTTGAGAGAGTCCCCAAACCCAAATGACCATTTTATGCCTTATAAAACCCAAATCTCTATTAAATCTCCTATAAATTATAATTCTTTTTAAGAAAAAGCAGTGATTACCTATAAATTTGGAAGTGTAGACAATGTGGTATGACCAATGTTGTTTAGAAGGTTATCTATAATTGACCGTTTATTGCACTATGGTAACTACTAATTCATACACCAACATGTTGCATTTTATGATGTTCCTTCTATGGGGTATGGACATCTCATTAATATTTCCTATTCTTAACTCCTTACACTAAGATTCAGTAAATGTAGAAAGTGCAAAATTAATAAGTAAAATATCAATACACCTTTGGGCTTAGAAATGGAGGTCGATTTTGACTTTCAATCGTCAAATACGATATGATTACTTCAAAATTGATTAAAAGGAACACTGTTTCGCTTGTAGAGAAGGAATAGAGAACTAGAATGAATTACAAGACCACATACCATATTCTAATAATTTGGCACTAACGATTTATAAACATTTATCTCGATTACAGGTACAATAAAATAAACGTTTTAAATCTTGCATTAGTCTGACTTTGTATAATCTAAATCTTGACTAAAGCATAAAACAACAAGTTTACAAGCCCTTAGCATCCCACCACCTCCTCCCTTCCCCAGCATCAATAAAACAGTAGTTTATCAGAAGCACAGTTGCGAACAAATTCAAACCTTTTGCATATCTTAAGTTCTTAACTTAAATAAGCCCCTTCTGACCTAAGACTAACATCTTCAACTTCCATTGGATTGCTGCTTACTACTAACCCTAAATTCATAAATCAATGGTTTTATGGCTAATCGTTAATCCAGGTAACCACACACCTAATCAGCATGTGCAATCCAAGAGTTTTGGTCCACTTCAATCAAATAAATGGCAATTGATCATGAAATGAAGCAAAAAGGAAAACATGATCACAAATGGATTTAACAAGATTACATATCTCTAACACATTTGCTTGTTGCTACCATAAATTGTTGATGACCAAAAGAGGGTTCAAGAATCCCGCTTTATCTATACTATATACGCAACCAGTAATCCAACTCAACATTCGGATAGATCTGATTCTCAAAAATCCACCATCTAAACACGTACACGAATCTCGTGAATAAACAATAGCATTATCATCAAAACCATTAATTCTTGTATACACCCGATATAAAATATCACAATCTACAAAACCCATGAAAAATCTCCACCATAAGAATCCCAAAGTAACAAAATTCCACGCATACCCATAACGAGTGTAGGAAAATGACCAATTTTGTAGAAAATCACCTGAAAATATCGAACTTAACGGGAAGCAGTAGATAACGGAACAACCTAAATTTGAGAAGAAACCTAAACTAACAATCGATGAACAAAACAA